TTCCAGCGTCACAGCAACAAACAGTATGGAGACATCCTAGACCCTGCCTGATGGTGACAGCCAAACCAAGCACAATTATTGCACAGTTGTCTCAGAGCTCAGGTGAGAAAGGCTGAACGGAGTTTCATAATTTCTGACAAGTAAATGGATAGACCCTGTAGATGACCTGAAAGTGTATGGCAGCAGCAAATAGAAGAATAAGCCAAAGAATGTCAGCGCGAGAACACAACACAATAACGGACTTCAAAGGATTCCATGCTGCCCGATTTTAGCTGACCCCAGCCATTGTCTTGTCATCTCAAGGGGAGATCACAATGAGCATCATTGGCAGGCCACCAATTTTCTCCAATAGTTTAAAAAGAGGACCTTTGCTCATACTGCCCAATGCCTTGGTGAGATTAATTTGATAAAGATGACATATAATATTCTCAGACAACAAGGTGCAGGGCTGGATGAACACAGCAGGCCAAGCAGCATCATAGGAGCAGAGAGGCTGACGTTTCGGGCCTAGACCCTTCATCAGAAAAGGGGGAGGGGAAGGGGGTTTTGAAATAAATAGGGAGAGAGTGGGAGGCGGATAGAAGAGGGATAGAGGAGAGGATAGGTGGAGAGGAAACAAACAGGTCGAAGAGGCGGGGATGGGGCCAGGAAAGGTGAGTGTAGGTAGGGAGTTAGGAAGGGGATAGGTCAGTCCAGGGAGGACGGACAGGTCAAGGGGGCGGGATGAGGTTGGTCGGTAGGAGATGGAGGTGCGGCTTGAGGTGGGAGGAGGGGATAGGTGGGAGGAAGAACAGGTTAGGGAGGCAGGGACGAGCTGGACTGGTTTTGGGATGCGGTGGGGGGAGGGGAGATTTTGAAACTTGTGAAATCCACATTGATACCATTGGGCTGCAGGGTTCCCAAGCGGAATATGAGTTGCTGTTCCTGCAACCTTCGGGTGGCATCGTTGTGGCACTGCAGGAGGCCCAGGATGGACATGTCGTCTGAGGAATGGGAGGGGGAGTTGAAATGGTTCGCGACCGGGAGGTGCAGTTGTTTGTTGCGAACCGAGCGTAAGTGTTCTGCAAAGCGGTCCCCGAGTCTCCGCTTGGTTTCCCCGATGTAGAGGAAGCCACACCGGGTACAGCGGATGCAGTATACCACATTGGCAGATGTGCAGGTGAACATCTGCTTGATGTGGAAAGTCTTCTTGGGGCCTGGGATGGGGGTGAGGGAGGAGGTATGGGGGCAGGTGTAGCACTTCCTGCGGTTGCAGGGAAAAGTGCCGGGTGTGGTGGAGCTGGAGGGGAGTGTGGAGCGGACAAGGGAGTCACGGAGAGAGTTGTCCCTCCGGAAAGCAGATAAGGGTGGGGAGGGAAAGATGTCTTTGGTGGTGGGGTCGGATTGCAGATGGCGGAAGTGTCGGAGGATGATGCGTTGGATCCGGAGGTTGGTGGGGTGGTACGTGAGGACGAGGGGGATTCTTTTTTGGTTTTTATTGCGTGGACGGGGTGTGAGGGATGAGGTGCGGGAGATGTGGGAGACACGGTTGAGGGCGTTCTCGACCACCGAGGAGGGGAAGTTACGGTCCTTGAAAAACGAGGACAACTGAGATGTACGGGAGTGGAATGCCTCATCCTGGGAGCAGATGCGGCGGAGGCGAAGGAATTGGGAATAGGGGATAGCATTTTTGCAGGAAGGTGGGTGGGAGGAGGAGTATTCTAGGTAGCTGTGGGAGTCGGTGGGCTTGAAATGAATATCGGTTTCTAGGTGGTTGCCCGATATGGAGACAGAGAGGTCCAGGAAGGGGAGAGAGGTGTTAGAGATGGTCCAGGTAAATTTAAGGTTGGGGTGGAAGGTGTTAGTGAAGTGTATGAACTGTTCGAGCTCCTCGTGGGAGCACGAGGCGGCGCCGATACAGTCATCAATGTAACGGAGGAAGAGGTGGGGTTTAGGGCCGGTGTAGGTACGGAAGAGGGATTGTTCCACGTAACCTACAAAGAGGCAGGCGTAGCTTGGGCCCATGCGGGTACCCATGGCTACCCCCTTTGTCTGTAGGAAGTGGGAGGAATTGAAAGAGAAGTTGTTGAGTGTGAGGACGAGTTCGGCTAAGCGGATGAGGGTGTCAGTGGAGGGGGACTGGTCGGGCCGGCGGGACAGGAAGAAGCGGAGGGCCTTAAGGCCATCTGCATGGGGAATGCAGGTGTAGAGGGACTGGACGTCCATGGTAAAGATGAGGTGTTGGGGACCGGGGAATTGGAAGTTCTGGAGGAGGTGGAGGGCGTGGGTGGTGTCACGGACATAGGTAGGGAGTTCCTGGACCAAGGGGGAGAAAATGGAGTCGAGATAGTTGGAGATCAGTTCGGTGGGGCAGGAGCAGGCGGAGACAATGGGTCGACCAGGGCATTCAGGTTTGTGGATTTTGGGAAGGAGATAGAAGCGGGCAGTGCGAGGTTGGGGAACGATGAGGTTGGAGGCCGTGGGTGGGAGGTCACCTGAGGTGATGAGGTTGTGGATGGTTTGCGAGATGCTTTCCGGAGGGACAACTCTCTCCGTGACTCCCTTGTCCGCTCCACACTCCCCTCCAGCTCCACCACACCCGGCACTTTTCCCTGTAACCGCAGGAAGTGCTACACCTGCCCCCATACCTCCTCCCTCACCCCCATCCCAGGCCCCAAGAAGACTTTCCACATCAAGCAGATGTTCACCTGCACATCTGCCAATGTGGTATACTGCATCCGCTGTACCCGGTGTGGCTTCCTCTACATCGGGGAAACCAAGCGGAGACTCGGGGACCGCTTTGCAGAACACTTACGCTCGGTTCGCAACAAACAACTGCACCTCCCAGTCGCGAACCATTTCAACTCCCCCTCCCATTCCTCAGACGACATGTCCATCCTGGGCCTCCTGCAGTGCCACAACGATGCCACCCGAAGGTTGCAGGAACAGCAACTCATATTCCGCTTGGGAACCCTGCAGCCCAATGGTATCAATGTGGATTTCACAAGTTTCAAAATCTCCCCTCCCCCCACCGCATCCCAAAACCAGTCCAGCTCGTCCCTGCCTCCCTAACCTGTTCTTCCTCCCACCTATCCCCTCCTCCCACCTCAAGCCGCACCTCCATCTCCTACCGACCAACCTCATCCCGCCCCCTTGACCTGTCCGTCCTCCCTGGACTGACCTATCCCCTTCCTAACTCCCTACCTACACTCACCTTTCCTGGCCCCATCCCCGCCTCTTCGACCTGTTTGTTTCCTCTCCACCTATCCTCTCCTCTATCCCTCTTCTATCCGCCTCCCACTCTCTCCCTATTTATTTCAAAACCCCCTTCCCCTCCCCCTTTTCTGATGAAGGGTCTAGGCCCGAAACGTCAGCCTCTCTGCTCCTATGATGCTGCTTGGCCTGCTGTGTTCATCCAGCCCTGCACCTTGTTGTCTCGGATTCTCCAGCATCTGCAGTTCCTACTATCTCTGATATAATATTCTCATATCGAGTTGGTGCCAATGCCCTGATCTGGTGGCAGGGTTTATTCTGAGAAAAGGTGTTAGCTGTGCAAAGTTCATGACATCAGCATAGCTTAAGTAAGTCTCTGATCAATTCTGATTTATGTTTACCAGGTCATGATGTCAAAGCCACTCTTGCATTAAAATCCTCCAGTAGCTAAATATGGTCAGATTTAGGGATTTTGTTGAAAGTAGTGTCAAACTCTTTAAAGAAGTGCATTCTTTTTTTGCCAATGTAGAGGAGCACAGTATTGCAGCAAAGAAACTTATGAAGTTGACTGGTCCTGATTGAGTTGAGAGAAGGATAGTAAGAAAAAGTTCTAAACTATTTTACATGGTTCCATCTTCTTGGTCAGGTATTTCCTCTCACCTATTTCCCTGGCAGTTAAACATGTAATGTAACTATTGAAACAAGATTAAATCTTAGAAGTCCAGAAGAAAGGGAGGAGATTTGTGAGCCTGCAGAAAATCTGGAGTCTAAGAGGAAATCAGAATCTCCTGAAAAGTAGCACAAATGGTCAAAATGTGACGTACATTGTTTCTGTGCAAGTTCATCTATCCTTTACTGAAACTGCAGCTGAAAGTCATGAGAACCCCTCTGAAACTCAGGGCCATAAAATAATTGCAGGAATATTCACAATTCTTTATAGATAGACGAGCATTGAAAATAGTGTGAAATGAGAAAATGCTAAGATGAAGTCAGTGAGACTATATTTCTAACATGGAATCTGTTTGGCTTTTTAACTGTTCTTCTATTTTAATCATGTGAAATCAGGAGAGCCACAGTCAGGTACACTGATCTCTGCACCCACCTCTCTGTTCACAGTCCCCACTCAGTGAGTGACTCTTAATCCAATCACATGGCATGTCCATAAAGACTCTTACAAAGTTTTATAGATGCACCACAGTAAACATCCTATCTGGATGCATCACAGCATGTTACAGCAACAGCTTTTTCCATGATCACAAGAAACTACAGAATCGAGAACACAGCCCAGTCCATCAGGCAAACCAGCCTCCCATCCGTTGACTTCATCTATACTTCCCACTGTCTTGGGAAAGCAAACAATATAATCAAAGACCCCTCCCACCCTGGTTATACTCTCTCCTACCCTCTTCCATTGGGCAGAAGATATAAAAGTTTGAGTACATGTGCAAACAGATTGAAGAGCAGCTTCTTCCCTGCTGTTATCAGGCTTTTGAATAGACCTCGCAAATGATAATGTTGGTCTCTCTCTACACCTTCTCGGCAGCTGTAATACTTGTCCTGCCCTCTGTTATGTTACCCAGATGCACTTGTATCGTATGAAATGCTTGTAAAACACGTAAGCCAACACTTTTCACTGTACCTCAGTACACGTGACAGCAATAAATCAAATCAACCTGATGAGGTTCCACATTGGGATGATAACTTGTGAATTTATTCTGCAGTTACCAGAAAAACTGTTTTACATTTTGCATGTGGGAACTACCACATACACACACACACACAAACACACAAATTTTCACTCAACTTACCATTTTCAAGCATTGCAAGATTAACAATATTGCTTTTGTCTGTCTGGTGTTCTGTCACAACTGAGGTGAACTCAATGTTACCAATATTCAAGATGGCTGCCAGAATGCTGTATATGTTCCCCAGTTCCTGTAGAAAGATATTCATTTATAAATTCAGATATTAACTGGTAGTATCATTATTCGTATCACATTAAAATGAATTGTTTTTCACTACAAATATTGGTAAGTAAGATGAAATGGAAATATAAACCAGGAGATGTGTAAAACAACATTCTGTTCACCATAGTGTGTTTAATTTTTCAAAATGCCTTCAAGAAGTTATCATGTAGACTCGTGACTAAGATTCTAAAATGTCGAGTCGGGGACAAATCACAGAATGGATAAAGACATTATTACAAAATGGGAAACAGGGAGTTGTGGTTCCGTTCCAGTATGATGAGTAGATTAATTTCCAAGTTTAACCTTTTTTTAAAACTGTTTTATTCTTCCTGTGGGAGGTAATTACTCAGGCTGGTAAATGATTAGAAAGCAGTGTTCCACAGGATCAGCATTGAAACTGTTGTTCTTCACTATTTACATAAATAATTTGAACTAAAGAATTGGAATAGAAATTCCAAAATTTTAACATCAAATTGGGGGTGTAATGAATGCAATGAAGCAGAAGCAAAATACAAAGAGACATAAATAAACTTGCTGAATTGATAAGCAATTATCAAATAAACCAAGAAATATTTAAGTGTGCAGTTATATTTCAGTAGGAAGAATAAGGAGGCTATATTTGGTCCTGATTTCAGGGGTGGACCTGGAAGACAGCCAGAAACAGATGTGGGTAATGAAAGCCCACCCCTCAGTGTAAGATGGTGCCAGTAGGTAGACATGCTCAGAGTGGGACTTCTCCTGTCAGTATGAGGAAGTCCCTCTCATGCCAGCCAGGCTAATTGGCTGATAGCTTGAGTACACTATCAGTGCCAGAACATGCTCATAGAACATAGAACATAGAACATTACAGCGCAGTACAGGCCCTTCGGCCCTCGATGTTGCGCCGACCTGTGAAACCAATCTGAAGCCCATCTAACCTAAACTATTCCATTATCATCCATATGTTTATCCAATGACCATTTAAATGCCCTTAAAGTGGGCGAGTCTACTATTTTTGCAGGCAGGGCATTCCACGCCCTTACTACTCTCTGAGTAAAGAACCTACCTCTGACATCTGTCCTATATCTATCACCCCTCAATTTAAAGCTATGTCCCCTCGTGCTAGCCATCACCATCCGAGGAAAAAGGCTCCCACTGTCCACCCTATCTATCAAGAGTGCTGCTGGGACTACAAGCATGGCCGAACAGAACTTTGATGCGAGAGTTGAGTCCAGGCCTTTTAGGACGAGGAGGAATTGTCCAGTCTCAGAGGGAGGCAAGCAGGCCAGGGGGAGGTTTTGGATACCTACAGGGCACCCCCATAATGATGAGCACGTCTGCCCTACTTACCCATTTTTCATTTACAATTTCTGCTCATTAAGTCAGCAGCCCACTCCCACCGTCTCACCATAGCCAACCATCTTATGGCATACGCAGGGTAATTTTCCTCTCAGTTGGCTTGGTAGCCAGATCAATTGACTGTTAATTATTTTGTTTTAAAATGGCAGGGCAAGCACCGATTTTGGCGCACACCCACCGTCCAAATGATGGGGCAGGCAGGGGAATGGTGGGCTGGACTGTAACAACAGACAATGGCCGAACCCCTCGGACAAATTAAAACACAAGCCCCAACCTGTTATATGACAGGAATAGAGGCTCCCTTCTAATAATTACCCCTAAAACACCCAGAGAAGCTCGTCTTTCCCCTTGTAATCTGTGCAAAAAATGGTTAAAGGAAAGAAAACCCCTGATCCACTTTACAAATAACAAGAAACAATTTATTTATTTAACTCAACAATGAACAAATTAACACAACTGTTAACAAACTGACACTTGCCCCTTAGACTACTAACTATTCCCTAACTGGTCTAAATTCTACTGGAATGCTGTTTAAATAAAACAAGTCCCACCGATATAAACCTAATTAATAAGAAGCAATAAATTATAACTTTATCACTCCAAGTTCGCATAGACTGTCTTCTGGAATATTCTGTCATCTCCGCTCTCTTCACAGACACCTTACTTCCGTTAATTTCCACCACCTCCAGCGAGATGCCATCACTAAATACATATTCCCCTCCCCTCCCTTGTCCGCGTTCCGCAGGGACTGTTCCCTCTGGGTCCTTATCCACTTTTCCTTCACCCCCAACACCTCCCCACAGCCCCATGGCACCTTTCCCTGCAACCGGCGAAGGTGTAACACCTGCCCATTTACCTTCTCCCTCCCCAGTATCCAAGGGCCCAAACATACCTTCCAGGTGAAGCAACACTTCACCTGCACTTCCCAGAATCTAGTCTACTGCATTTGCTGCTCACAATGTGGTCTCCTCTACATTGGTGAAACAAAGCGTAGACTGGGTGACCGCTTCGCAGAACATCTACGTTCTGCTCGCAAAAAAGACCCTGAGCTACCTGTTGCCTGCCACTTTAACATACCACCCCGTTCCCTGGCCAACATTTCTGTCTCTGGCTGGCTGCAGTGTTCCAGTGAAGCTCAACACAAACTGGAAGAACACCATCTCATTTTCAGCTTGGGGACCCTGCAGCCCTCTGGACTCAATATCAAGTTCAACAATTTTAATGCCTAAACTCTTCCATGTCCCAGTCCCCTACCCTATACACCAGGCCTTGTTACCACAGCCTGCCATTACACGCCCCCCGTTGTTAGTCACTAACAGTCCCCATTAACAACTATTCACCCTCCCAGCCTGACTGTTATCAACTCCTTTGTCTATCCAACTGCTCCTCTCTCTCTTCGGGGTTTATCTTATCGTTTGCTTTCTACCCCATCCCCCTCCCTATTTTCTACATACAAACTGATGTTTTCCCAGCTACGATCAGTTCTGAGGAAGGGTCACTGGACCCGAAACGTTAACTCTGATTTTTCTTCACAGATGCTGCCAGACCTACTGAGCTTTTTCAGCAACTTCTGTTTTTGTTCCTGATTTATAGCATCCACAGTTCTTTCGGTTTTTACTTCCGTTAATTCTGCTGGCAAGAATGTTTTATCTCTTTAATTTCTTCAATGAGGACTTTGAGCTAAAATACCATGGTACCTTTGATTAATTAGATGGGCCTTCTCTGAGAGCTGAATGGTGCTAATTCTGTCTCTCTCTTTCAGGTAGCAGTTAGCTCTCCTGGATTTTCCAAATGCCCTCGTCTTACAGAATCATAGAATCCCTACAGTGTGGAAACAGGTCCTTTGGCTCAACAAGTCCACACCGACCCTCATAGCATCCCACCCAGACCCATCCCCCTATAACCCAACTAATCTACACCTCCCTGAACATTGCGGGCAATTAAGCATGGCCAATCCGCCTAACCTGTCGATCTTTGGACTGTGGGAGGAAACCGGAGCACCCGGAGCAAACCCACGCAGACACGGGAGGAATGTGCAAACTCCACACAGACAGTCACCTGAGGGTGGAATCGAACCCGGATCCCTGGCGCTGTGAGGCAGCAGTGTTAACCACTGAATCACCGTGCTGCCTTATAATCGTAATTTCATAATCAAATTCTTATAATGTGAAAGGTTTCAGGTTGTCAACACCATTAAATTTAAATTCAATTGGCTTTCTGTTTCTCGGTGCTTTGCTTAAATTAATTGGCTGAATTCAAACTCATCTCAGGTCTAGGCCCGAAACGTCAGCCTTCCTGCTCCTCTGATGCTGCTTGGCCTGCTGTGTTCATCCAGCTCTACACCTTGTTGTCTCAAAATAAGACTACTGTTTTGCCTGCCACCTGTAAGACATTTTTGATACATTTGTTTCACTTTTTGAGGCTCTCTGTACTGGCAACTTCAACTGCTGCTCACAGAGCTCAAAGTCCTCAAAAAATTTTTTAAAAAGCGGATTTTTTAAAAGAGGGTTTTAAAAACAATTTCAGAAGTACAGACAAAGCACAAATCTCTTAAAGGAACCACACATTTTAACTTCCTGCCTTCCACTACATAATTACTCTACCCAACACCACTCGCATTTTATATATCCACCTCCTGAAAATATATCCAGCTGTACTGAAATTTTATTTCTGTAATGCTGGACATTTTTTTCTGATTTGTCTAAAATCTTGTAACTAAAGAAGCTATACCTAGGTACTTTTGTATCTAGGTTGGTGCTGTAATTGGCGACATATAAACTTTTCATTGTACTCATTGGGTATATGTGACAATGAAGGCTATTCTGTTCTATCCTATTCCAATCTACTGTACATGAGGTAGATGATCTGAAAGAAGTGTAGATATAGGATTCGCTAAAAGTGGAAACACAGATGAATAAACTCATAATAAACAAAGCACTGTGTTTCATTTATTGGGCATAGAATTGTAAAGTTGAGAGGTTATTTAATCATAATATACAATTAAACATGCCTGTAACCTTTGCTACACTTGGAGTATTGTGAGGAGTTCTGGCCTCTTTATGGTAAGGAAAAGAAACAGAAAGATTTGTGAAAATTAGAAGGTTCATTTCTCTAAAGAACACAAATTCTGAGGAATGACCTGATAGGGGTCCTTAACATTATGAGAGGATTTCATAAATTAGATTACAACAATTATGACAAATCATGATTATCAGGTCTTAAACATCTTGACGTATTATAAAATGATATAAGATATTAAGGCAGATTACCTTGGCCAAACAGGTAGGATTTTAAAGAATGACTTAAAGAAGGAAAGTGAGGTGCAGAGGTGGGGAGGAAATTTAGAGACAGGGAGGAAGTTTGGAGTCCAGTCATCTAAAGGCATGCCCTTCAACAGGAGTCTGATTAAAATTGGGAATTTTCAGCAGGATACCAGAACTTAAAGTGAGTCAGGAGCAGAGTGGAATTGGTGGCCATGACTGAGGAGAGTGTCCTGGGGTAGCTAAAAGGTCTATAGGTGGATAAATCTCCCAGACTGTATGGACTATGCCCCAGAATTCCAAAGGAGATAGCTGAAGAGATTGTGGAAGCAATGACGGTGATCTTTCAGAAATCACTGCAGTCAGAGAAGGTCTCAGAGGACTGGTAAATGGCTAATGTAACACATCCCTGTTCAAGAAGGGAGGGAGGCAGAAGACAGGGAACTATAGACCAGTTAGCCTGACTTCAGTCGTTCGTAAGATTTTAGAGTCCATTATTAAGGATGAGTTGCAAAATTCTTGAAAGTGCACGTTAAAATAGGACTGAAACAGCACAACTTCATCAAGGAAAGGTCGTGCCTGACAATTCTGTTAGGATTCTTTGAGGATGCAACGAGCAAGTTAGACAAAGGAATGCCAGTGGACGTGATCTATTTGGATTTCCAGTAGCCCTTTGACAAAGTGCCGCACAGGAGGCTACTAAATAAGATGAGAGCCTGTGGTATTAGGGGCAAGGTACTGGCATAGATAGAGGATTGGCTGACTGGCACAATGCAGACTGTAGGGATAAATGGGTCTTTTCAGTTGGCAGCTGGTGTTTAAACGAATTTTACAGGGGTTAGTATTGGGACCAAAACTATTCACATTGTACATTAATGATCTGGATGAAGGAACTGAGGGCAATGTTGTTATGTTTGCAGGTGACACAAAGATATGTGAAGGTAGTGTTGAGGAACCAGGGAGGCTGCTTAAGGATGTACACAGTCTAGTAGAGTAGGCAAAGAATTGGCAGACAGAATACACTGTGGAATGTGTGAGGTTACACACTCTGCTAGGAAGAATAGAAGCACAGAATAATTTCTAAATAGAGAAAGGTTTCAGAAATTGGAAGCACAAAGAAACTTGCGAGTCTTAGTTTAGGATTCTAAGGTTAACATGCAGTTTCAGTTGACAGTTAGGATGGCAAATTCAACGCTAGCATTCACTTCAGGAGAGATAGAATACAAGAGCAGGGATGTACTGCTGAGGCTGTATAAGGCAGTTTTGGGCCTTGTGTCTAAGAATATTGTGAGCAGTTTTGGACCCTGTATCTAAGGAAGGATGTGCTGGCATTGGAGGGGCTCCAGAGGAGGTTTACAAGAATGAACCCAGGGATGAAGGCTTTGCCATGTGGGAAGCAGTTGACGACTCTGGGTTTGTACTCAGTGGAGTTTAGAAGAATGAAGGTTATCTTACTAAAACTTACAGAATACTGAGAAGCCTGGATAAAGTGGACACGGAGAAGCTATTTTCTGAGGGCAAGTAGTGATAGTGATAAAAGTACCATTCTGGCCAATGATGACCACACGATCAGAATTTATCATAAAATAACTTGTAATTAAAAGAAAAGTGACTGGTACAAATTTCCTGCAACAGTGATAGAATTTCAAGTGAAAGATATAAGATGTTTAAAAGTATGCCGCAGTTAAAAGAGACACCTGTTATGCACAGACAGTGAAAATGCGTTATAAAGTTTGAATATAATTAAGGATGAAGAAGGGCGATCGGTTCATCTTCATACATCAATCCAGCTAGGCATCTATTTATTTTTCAAATGGTTCTCGTGCTTTGACTCTATTCCATTCTCCCAGCGTTCATGCTATTTGTTCATTAGTACCTCATTAAATAAGACAATATATGAGATTATTTGAAGGATTCAATGCTAATGCCTGAATGTCGCCAAAGAAAATGATGCATTTTTACCTCCAGGGTGAAACCAATGACTTTGAAACATTGCTCGAGGGCTTCAAATTGGGCTTTGTAGAAAGAATTGGTTATAATCTCTTCCATCGTTGTAATTTTCTCATCCTGAAGATACCTTAAAGATTTTGTAACAGTTACTGATCAAAATTCATACTAATTTAGACAATGCAACACACCAACGGGAATGTCAAATTTGTTAAAGTGCATAAATCATTACAAATAAAGTGCAAAATGGCTCTGGTCTCTTAATATGCGTAGTAAATATTTCTCAATTAATTCTAATTCAATACCAGAATGGTGGGCTAAAAGATTTCTCCACTAGTCAGCAACTGAAAAGTTAAAATAAGCCTAATTTTTTTTTATTTTTCTTTTATCAAAACCATGGTACTGACAAAATTGAAGATGTAGTTCTCATTGTAGGTGAAACTCCAGCAGTACAATGAACACCACATCAGCCTGAACTCAGTGTTGTAGCCTCTACAAATTACCTTGGCGGTTGACCTTTGGACAACTTATAATGGGCTAGCTTTGTCTGCTGTGCCAGGCCAGCATAGATATAATAGAAAATGTGGAAGTTTTTCTCTCCCCTGGAAGAAACCAGAAACAAATAATAATGTAGGAATTGACACCATCATCTAAATCCACAATGCCTCTTATTATTTTGTGATTCTTAATGGATGAGGCCTTACAATGTTGAAAGTTGCTTTAAAACAGTAGCAAAGATTTTCTTCTATACTTACGGAGCCTGATGGATGACTCTTGACTTCTCTAGCAGGTACTCTGAGATCTGAGCCCCCACGACTGTCCCGCCACTGGTAAACCTCATCTCCAAATACTTGCCAAACCTGCTAGAGTTATTGTTGATTACAGTGCAGGCGTTCCCAAACGCTTCGAGTAAGTTGTTTACCTGGAGAATCTTTTCCTGCAGTATCCTGTTGTTGGTCTGTAAGAGAAAGATTCACTTGAAAGTTTCCTCAGGAAACTTGAAAAAGAACCTTCAGCTTATCTTTAACCCCTATCCAATTTTTGTCCCATTTAGTTCATGATCTTCAACTTTTACTTCACGCTCTTTCAGTTGGGTCGGTCCAAACATGAGCTTTCCTGCAGTTGTTGTTAATGATGATCTATCTCTAAGAGAAACAATTTTGATGGTGTAATAAGCATTTTTGCCTGTTGCTCCTCTGAGAAAAGAAGTGGAGTACAGTATACACTCATGTAAACTTCCATTTCATCTTAAAACAAATCCTAAGATTTTTGACCTACGAAATGTAGTTTCTCATATACTATAAGTTACCATATTTCCTCTATTTTCTAATTGTCAGTTAAGCAGGAAGAATGAAGAGCAATGTTAATTTTTTGAGGTAAAGCTTGGAGGCTCAAGCCTTGCTGTTATGGATGGTGACACAGTGCAGCAAGGCCTAGGTCATGGGGTGGGAGCTGTCAGGGTGACATTTTCCAATTGTGACCCTGCATTTTCCTTTCTTTGCATGGCCGGAGAGCTCCATTGAAAGCACAGGCCCAACTGCCACTGCTGCTTTCTCTCCCAGGGTGGGGGAGATCGGGGAGAGCCCTAAACAATAATACAGAAGGAGAGAGAGGGAGACAATGAATAGCTGATGTGGTGGCACCTCCCCTAATCCCCATGTGGATTCAATTGAGAACCATGTTAGATATGCCTCGTGGGTGTGTTTTAGTTAAAAGTAGGCCTCTCAAAAAAATTACCTGTATTAAAGTTGACTTCCTTAGCATTTTGCTTCAAATGTTAGTTGCAAAAATTCAACTTTCACATGAGCATATATAATATTTCTGAGGGCCCATCCTACTCACTTTTAAAAGCATCATGAAAAAGGAATTCATATAACAGCTAGAATCACTTTCACTCTCATTAAACAAGTAGTTGCATACATACTTAATGTGGAAAGGAAATGACTCAAAGTGTTTCACAAATGTTGACTACTTTTTTAAATAAAAGGCATTGAGACTTACAGATGACTGGATGCATTCCATGCAATCAAACTGAAGAATGCAGGGGATTCCAAGTTGAATTTGTTGACCTTAGCCAGTTGAGGGCATTTAGAGGGACATCCAGACTCTCAATCTTAATTGCTATCTAATAATCTTTTCTTTAACATATGACCAGTAGCACATGGGCACAATTAAGTTTGGTTGCATTGCCCTCTGTGATATAATATCCCTCAGTCTTTCACTGTCAGGGTTCATGCTGTGCCAGTGCCACTTAGGTACAGTGCCAGAGTGTTGCCAGCTCCTGTCTAGTGCATTCCCATAAGCTTCAGAAGACAATAATGTAACTGGGAAGAAGGCTGTAAAGGCAGAAGTTTAGAATCCAATTTTGTGGACATTGCAGAAAATTTAATGTCATTTTATATTTTCTCTCATGGATCAAAAGGGCATTTATTTCATAGTTTAAGCCAGTAATGTGCATTACACGCTTTGTGGTAACACTGTAATGATGTTGAACTTTGTTTGTCACTGCTCCTCTGGCAAAATATGATAGATCAATGGGAGAAAACCCCATCCCCCTCAATCCCCCACCTCAACACCACAACATTCCATTGTTGCATTGATGCACTGCTGCTCTATGTTTGAGATCATCAATATGCTTAAATCAGGAATCCTGTACAGTCAGAATAAAGAAAATGCATTCCAGTTCTGCACATGAGTCATCAATATGCGTGAAACAAGAATTCTGAGTAACAGGAATGAGTGAGAAAATATTCTGTGCTTGGAGCATACATCAATTTACCTTGATTGATCCAGCAAAATTAGCTATAAAAATTATAGCATATAAAATGAATTAAAATGCAGATGAGGATTTGAGATGAAGCAGGTAACCTTAAGCTAACTCATTGTTAAAATGTTACTTTTACACTTGCAGTACATTGTTTTGCATCGACTTGGACTCAAACCCACTAGTTTATTGATGGGTGCATTAGATTAAGAGTGCCCCCAGGATGTATTATCTCAACAATGCACAATACCTTTCCAAGGACAGTGAGTTGCTCAACCAAGAAGTGGGTACTTTCAGTCTTCCCAGCGCCACTTTCTCCACTGATCACAATGCACTGACATAGTTAAGGAAGACACATTAGTCATCACATCCTTCTACTGAAATCACAAACAGTATGAAGAGAATTAAAATATGAAATGGTGTGGCATGCTTTACCTAGAAATATGGAATGATTGCAGCTCAGAAGATTTAGCCTGTCATCTGTTTCATATCATCCTACAATTTTTAATTTGAGCCTTTGTACATCTGGGTCTAAGTCACTAATATATATCAGGAAGAGCAGGGGATATACATTGATGCCTGAGAAACGCCGCAGTAGAACTTCTTGAAACTTGAGAAACAACCATTCACTACTACACTCTTTTTTCTGTTGCTCAGCTAATTTTGTATCTCGGTTGCCATTGTCCCTTAAACCCCATGAATTTTATTTGTTTTAAGTCTGGAGTGCAGCACTTCATCAAATATATTTTGAAAGTCCATGCATTATCCCCATCAACTCTCTCTGTTACCCCATCAAATAGCTCAAGCAAGTTAATTAAACACAATTTGTCCTGAACAAATTTGTGCTGGCTTTGCTTAATTGATCTGCATTTGCCCAGTTGAGTATTCATTTTATCCTACTTCATCATTTTTCAAAGCATCCCTAATTCCAAGATATTTGTTACGGAATCACAGGTACCTGATCTGAGTTGTAAGTGACCATAGCCTGGTAGGCAATGTCAGCCACAGCAAAGATGTGGGGTGGATTGGCAGTACGCTTCGCACCAATGTACTGCCTGGAATGCTGTTAACGATAAAATACAAATGAACATTAACATATAATCATTATTTACCTCCTGATACTTTTTGCAAAATGCAGATAATGAGATGACTATTTGTCTATCAGTAAAGGTATTGAAGCAAATATGCTGACAATCAAACTGATGACAATGTCTTTAATAAATATATACAATCTATGCGTAGAAAAATGCTATTCAGCTCAAGTATCTCCTTTGATATTTCTTTCTTTCTTTAACCATATCAACGTAAACTTCTATTCCTTTTATCATGTGTTGGCTTCCCTTTAAATACATAATGCAAATGTGTCAGTCCTGAGCAGTTTCTGAAGGTAACATTAGTTTCTCTGTTACCATTATCAGGAAGCACAGATCCATGCTTCTCATGGATTAGAACAGCATCTCATATTTCGCTTGGGAACCCTGCAGCCTGATGGTATCAACGTGGACTTCACAAGCTTCAAAATCTCCCCTCCCTCCAACCGCATCCCAAAACCAGCCCAGCTCGTACCCGCCTCCCTAACCTGTCCTCCCACCTATCCACTCCTCCCACCTCAAGCCGCACCCCTATCTACTACCTACTAGCCTCATCCCGCCCCCTTGACCTGTCCATCCTCCCTGGACCGACCTACCCCCTCCCTAACTCACCTTAACTGGCTCCAACCCCGCCCCCTTGACCTGTCTGTCTCCTCTCCACCTATCTTCTCCTTTATCCATCTTCTATCCGCCTCCCCCTCTCTCCCTATTTATTTCAGAATCCCCTTCCCCTCCCCCATTTCTGAAGAAGGGTCTAGACCTGAAACTGTTTCAGAGACAGCAGGAACTGCAGATGCTGGAGAATCTGAGATAACAAGGTGTACAGCTGGATGAACACAGCAGGCCAAGCAGCATCAGAGGAGCAGGAAGGCTGACATTTCGGGTCTAGACCTGCAGGAAGTGCTTCACCTGCCCCTATTCCTCCCTTCTCACCATATCTCAGGCCCCAAGAAGACTTTCCACATCAAGCAGATGTTCACCTGCACATCTGCTAATGTGGTATACTGCATCCGCTGTTTCCGTTGTGGCCTCCTCTACATCGGGGAAACCAAGCGGAGGCTTGGGGACCGCTTTGCAGAACACCTACGCTCGGTTTGCACTAAACAACTACACCTCCCAGTCACGAACTATTTCAACTCCCCTTCCCATTCCTCAGACGACATGTCCATCCTGGGCCTCCTGCAATGCCACAACGATGCTACCCGAAGGTTGCAGGAACCGCAACTCATATTCCGCTTGGGAACCCTGCAGCCCAATAGTATCAATGTGGACTTCACAAGTTTCAAAATCTCCCCTCCCTCCGACTGCATCCCAAAACCAGCCTGGCTCGTCCCCGCCTCCCTAACCTGTCCTTCCTCCCACCTATCCCCTCCTCCCACCCCAAGCCCCACCCCCATCTCCTACCCACTGACCTCATCCCGCCCCCTTGACCTGTCCGTCCTCCCTGGACTGACCTATCCCCTCCCTAACTCCCCACCTACACTCACCTCTACTGGCTCCATCCCAGCCTCTTTGACCTGTCTGTCTCCTCTCCACCTATCTTCTCCTGTATCCATCTTCTATCCGCCTCCCCCTCTCTCCCTATTTATTTCAGAACTCCCTTCCCCTCCCCCATTTCTGAAGAAGGGTCTAGGCCCGAAACGTCAGCCTTCCTGCTCCTCTGATGCTGCTTGGCCTGCTGTGTTCATCCAGCTCTACGCCTTGTTATCACAGATCCATGGTTCATTATTACAGAGACATTCTTTTATCCTCCCATTACCACTAAGTTTCTCGTAAACTTGGACACCACACTACCAAGCTAATCAGGAAACATGAGCACATATGAGCTGATTTTAAACCCAATGCTCAAGAGATACATTGTGGGCAGTGGGAAAAGGGAATGGTTTGGTTAAGATGACTGGCACTTGGGATAAAAACCGATAGAACTGCGGATACTGCAAATCAGGAACAAAAACTGAAAACGCTAACTCTGATTTTTCTTCACTGATGCTGCCAGACCTGTTGAGCTTTTCCAGCAACTTCTGTTTTTGTCGGCACCAGAGATGTTGTTGGATCCCCCTCCTGTCCTATGCTGCTACTCTTTGTCAGTCTCTCCAGCATCACCACCCCCAACCCCCTGAGCACTAACTTTGGATCCCTGGCATTGGCAGATTCATACTACTGCCCCTTTGTGCTGCACTCTATCAATAATTTTGGGTTTCATTTGGTAATGGACCGGACAAATGAAGCCCAACAATTTGGAATGCCCAGGTCTCTTGCTGAGGTATCCAATGTGCGCAATTCCTTCCTGACCCACATTCCTGCCCAGTCTGTTTGCTCAATCATTTACTTTAGTTGTTTCCACCTGGACTGCCAAGTTTTTCTCATAATGTTTCTGTTGAGCTGCCTATAACAAATGTTCAAAAGTCAATCACTTCTCTGCATAATGTGTCCAGTGCTGTAGAAAGCTTAGAAGTTAAAACTCAAGAGAAAATCAACACACAATAGGTATGGAATAATTTTTTTTCTCAGAAATGCAACCTGATTGAATAAGTGTGCATTCTATGATACCTACAAATTTTGTTTTTGTTGAGGTTTTCTGTTAGGACAAAACAGCAGAAGAAAATGCAGCATTTGAAAATTCACCCCAAAACTTCTCCACAGATAAAAGAACATGGATGTGTGCTTCACCACTTTCCTCCTCACTTGTCTGGGAACACGTTCTTCCTATCACCATTAGGTTGCCAGAAAGCCCCTTCACCTACTAATAGTCTCTCAGGAGCCATGAATACATCTTGGATGAGTTGACAATGTAGAAAATGTAAACTCTTCTCCCACTCATCACTAATTGTCAGGGTTATGGGTACAAGTTAGTTTGTGTGAACAGGGTCCTGACCACCAACTTAATAGGAATTGCATGATGATTCACTATTTTTAAAATTTGTTTTTTGGACATTGCTGGCTGGGCCAGCATTTATTTTCTATCCCAAGCTGCCCTTGAGAAGGTGGTAATGGCCTTTGAAACCCAACATTAAGTGCAATTAAGCTCTTACCTGGAGATCATCAGCCTTCCCACTCAATTAAATCCCCAATCAAGAAGATATCTGACTCCTGAAAGCTGCAGGCCAACCATAAGCTTACATCTCCAATACTTGCATCAACACTGGGAGCTATGGCCATTGGAAGGAAAACACTGAGGTCTTCACCAGGGATTGTCACTGGACAGCTGGAGAGAGTTCAGTGGGGCAAGATCAGTGTCACAGGGAGAGGTCTCACCAGTGCATATGGGAAGTGGAGGGGAGAGGGAAGGGGATCGATGTAAAGGCAGAGGTTTGCTGTCAGCTGCACTCTACCCTTCCCAATGCCAGGTCCATTGAATTCCTGCGAATGATCGCCTTCCATGATGCAGGCAAACTGAGTTTGTTGGGCAATTTTCAGGAGGTGCAGGAGACCTGTGAGAGTCCAGTCAAATCCCTGGGGGTCCTGGTGTGCTCATAGATAATTGGTCCCAATTAGCTCTTTACCAAGTCTTACTGCTGCTGGGAGGCAGTATTCCAGTGACACGTCCTTCCTATCCACATTGAACGAGGTGCAGATTCATCCACCCCCTTTCAGGAATGGCACACAACCTCCTGCTCGATTCTCCCAGCACCCCCACCATCATACCTAACCCAACAGGCTCCATTAAATTTTGCCTTATGCCTCTTGCAAAGAACGGAAGCAACTAAGGACAGAAGGCAGTGCTAAGCAAATCAGACAGTTTATCCTCGGCTACACTTTGGCAAGAAAGACTTCAATTGGACTCCACAGCCAAACTAGAACATACAGCATGAACAACAAGAAATGGCCACCTTCAACAGGATACCCAAAATGCTGAGATGAGTGTAACAATAAGGCCAGTTCCCTGAAATTAAGTCTTATTATGAGCAAGTTAGTGTAGTGTTTATGAGTAACCTGAGGCTTGTATCAAAGATCTAGAGACATGAATTCAAATCTGTTCATCAAATAATTCTGGAACTAAAAGTTAGTTTCAGTAAAGGTGATCATGTAATCTGTTGGGTTGATGTGAAAATTGGGTTTGCTAAATTCCTTTAGGGAAGGAAATCTACCATCCTTACACAATCTGACCTACATGTGACCCAAACCCCCACAGTACGTATGGATCTTAAATGTCCTCTGAAGTAGCACGGCAAGTCACTGAGTTGTATCAAACCATGACAGTAAAGTATAATAAGAAAGGAAAATGGAGGCACTTAGCACCAACCAGAAATGACAAAGATACACTCTGCTTAGCTAACACTGTAGAGTCGCCCTCCCTAACATCTGAGGACTTAAACTATTATGAATGTGAAACTGTAAAGGGTGTTTGTGCTTTAAACTGTCTCGTTATTACAAAATTAAACAAAATATGTTGGATTGGGAGAGAGTGAAATCATATGCCTGATTATCATGGCGAAAGAGACCCAGGAAAAAACCTGTAGAAAATCAATGGCCATTTTTAATAACTTTACTCAGAGTGGAACAGCTGGTCTTCTCAGACACAGACTCTCAGTCAAAGATCCAGAGAGTGAGCCCAAAGCAACTGGTACTTTACAAGCAGAGCAAAAAAAAAACAGAATGTTGGTGAGAATGGTTTCCCTGTTTGAAGAGGTGGGATTTGTAGGTACTTAAGAACCAAGGAGTAGCCAGTGGGTGGCTTGCTGCTAAAATTCAATTTGGGTGTTCTCAGAAGATTGAATGAAGGAACTTTCACAGCTTTCTGGAAGACATACTCTGGAATAGTAGACAGACTGGAATGAGCTTGGGACTTAATCAGTCAGTTTACATATCAGCAGAGAGAGAAGTGGAGCATACTAACCTGGCAAAATGTATTTTCAGTTGAGGTACTGAATTAACTAGGCAATATATTTTCTGTAGTTTATCATTTGAGATTCCTACTCAGAACTTTCAGATGATAAAAACAGAAAATGCTGGAGAAGTTCAGCAGGGCTGG